CGATAGGGATTGTTGCTAGATTGTAAATCATGATATGTTCTCATAGAGTTTCGATAGTCTGATATTTCGTGTGGCTCGGGTTGCAAATGCAAGGTGATGGGCGGTAGCTGGTAGTTCGACGACGGCGAATGTAGAATCGAAAAGACGGGTCGTGGAAATTAGGAAGATATGGATCGTCTGTGGCATCCGCTATGGGTGGATATTGTGGCCTGTCAAGGTGGTCCACATATACAGGGGCGGCAGGTTGGTAGGTATGATGGGTGCGGGCATGGTCGTGATGCTGGTATAACGTCCGCTGGGAAGATTCAGGGTATCGAGGTGGATCATGTAGAATGGTGGTGGGGGCGGATTCGTGATGCTGGAGAGAGGAGAAGGGCGGGTGGTTCCGCGCGCTGGATGTTGTTAACATATGGCCGTGGGTCATGGAAGTGTTGTGGGCGCCCACCCCTTGGTGATGGGCCTTGGTAGGAGGAGGTGGCGTAGATATACGTGCGGGAACCTCGGCTGTAGGCCTGGGAGGGTACGACGTCATAGCCGAGAAGCCTTGGTCCATTTTTAACTAGACACGGTGCCGCACTGCATCGTCAAGACCATGTAGTATCATAGTGGAACAATCTCCACTTACGTGGCGGAGAAAGAACGTATGTTGTGCAGTGAATTTGAAACGTCCTGTACAAAATCATCCAACAAGGTTCAAAGATCGAGGCCCGACGTCAGCTATATCTGAACGATTGAGCCAGATAGGATAAGACGATAACACGACAAAAAAAGACCCGTCCGTCTCTCACCTAGATGTGAGAGGAAGAACCCGTCCAATGCTTAATCTCCTGTATATCAAATATCGCCTGAAGAGAAAATTCAGACGCGCTGTCAGGGGAACAAAAGAGGAGGTGATAGCAGTAACTGACGAACATGAGTTGGAAAAACTGGCTGGTGCAACCTTCCAATGCGCCCACGCGTCACGGGCTGGTGATCATGAGAAACGAGGGGTAACTGCGCAGAAGGTTGCACTCTGAAGGTGGTCCTGAAGCGTGGTAGCGACTGGAAGCACGACCTGGAGGCCGCGGAGAACGTTGGACGTGTTGAATGTACGGGATTCCTTTCTATTTCCTTTCAGGGATCCGTGTGAACGCCACCAATTTTCCTGTAATCACACGTGATGTAGCTAACCAAGTTGAGACAAGTCTTGCACGGTTTTTCAGTAGCTGTGACAGGTAAAACTTCCAAATTTATCAGAATTAAGGACAAAATCCATGGGTCCAAAAACGCAAAGCGCACCACAGATATAGTGCACCACCCTAGGAAATTAAAATGACCGATTTCCTTTAGGTTCGCTATCTGTACCATGACCTAGATCTCAATAGATTTTTTTTGCGAAATCAAACCGGAAGGGAAAGACTTCCCTATAGCTAGATATGAATAGAGATTGATTAGAGTCTGTGACTCTGTGACGATAATCGTAATCTTTATCGATGCTTGTGCTTGACTTGTGCAGCAGTCAGGATCTACTAAGCTAGTATAGAATCCATCAGCAAGAGCGTGATTCGCATTTGTTGAGAGATTTACGCTTCTCATTCTTATGCGGCCGGATTGTCTCGATTAATCATCATTTAGCTGTTCTGATTCCTTCAAGGATTTGCAGAAGTAAATCAGTGTGCTAGTAGATCTCCACGCTGATGCTTATGAGTACTTTCAGCATGGCCCCAGAATTCAACCTGGATTTTACTATCAGTCTCTCGTCGGGCGTCACCCAGCGTTTGCCCAGCGTAGAAGCAAGCCGTGGCGGCAGACGTTGCCGCGGGCGGCCCGAACAGGCGCTGTAAATAGCACTCTCAAAAGTCGTGCTCATTTCCATTTCCTGCCACCATCATCAATCCATCATACTTAGAGTGAGCCGTTTCTACTTTTCTCATGTACCGATCGCATGATCAGTGATGTCTTTCGTACTTAAAACTTGAGGTCACAGTCAGATCATCACATCCACCGAAGGTGGACTTACACTCGCGAAGGCCCTAACATATAGACGCCTCTTCTTCTGCGTTGGCAGGCCTTTCGACGCTCTGAGTCGTTCGAGCGCGTGCACGAAACAACCGCGTGCATCCACCGGAATCCAGGAACCTGAAGACACCTTCTTATTGTCAGAATCCCGAACACAACCATGGCCACTGCCACTGCGGCCCAGATTCTCAAAGCGCAGAAAAAGAGCCTGCGCAGGGCGGTGGCGGCCACACTCAGCGAGCTGTCGCCGGCGGTTCTAGAGGACCAATGTAAGCTTTTTCTCTGTATCTCAATTTACTTACGAAAAGATGTACATGCCTATGTGTTAAAATTTTGTTTATGATCACTGCAGCACGCGCTATAACCACCCGCGTGCTCGCTTTGCCGCCCTTCAAGCGCTGTTCCACGATAAGTTGTTACTTGAGCATGCCATCGGGCGAAGCGCGCACTACAGCCATCGCGGAGTCTATCCTCCAATTAGGTATGTATGATCATAACAGCAAAGAGCGTCCCAAAACCAGCGTGCGTGCTCACACACCCCCGACCCGTACAGAGAAGACGCTCTTCGTGCCCAAGATCCAAGCGACCGACAGCGCTATGGACCTCCTCCGCGTGTACTCCTTCGAGGATCTTGCTTCGCTCCCCAGCGGCACATGGGGCATCAAGGAACCCGACGCATTTTGGGAGGGGAAAAGGCGGCCTAGCGGTAAGGACCTTTTATTCTCCACTTACTGGTTTGCGGGAGCGTGACCTTGCCTTTTTTGGGGGTTTTTCGATACCCAGTCCAGGGCACGCATGAAATCAATTTAGATATGATCCTGGTTCCAGGTAAGCTTTATTTCTTTCTTTCTTCTGAGTTCTTTTGTGTGACACCTCGTTTTCCTCCTTGTGTTCTGCTTCCACAGGTGTCGCCTTCGACCGCTCGCTTTCGCGCTTAGGGCACGGAAAAGGCTATTACGACCGCTTCATCTCATCATACGTCGCTTCTGGCAGACCAAAACCACTACTGGGTGCGTTTAATTCTGCTGCGCGCTTTTGGCGTCTCGGCACCCATCCCAACTTCCTCTAACATATTATATACAGTGGGCTTGGGGTTGCGCGAGCAATTGTTCGCCGCTGGAGATGTCCCTGTTGGCGACCACGATTGGAAAATGGACGTTTTGATTACACCCGACGAGACGTTGGGGCTCGTCGCTGCTGAAGATAATACTCATACCAATCCTTGATCGTGCTTACGATCATATATATTTCACGCTCGTCATTAACAATTGAACACTAACATTTGGAAGAGAATATCGATCACAAATCTCTGAGTTTTGCTGATATGACCGCTCAACTACGAAGGCCGTAAGACATATTGTTTGCCAAAGGACCGGTGGAATAGTGTGGTCGACTACAGCCACGCCGCGCAAACGAGCGCGCCTAGGGATAAATGCACGTAAACAGGGCGTCGAGGCAAGCCCTCGTCGCGCATGAGAGCTGTTCAACGGCAGTCCATTGTCAGACAGTATACGAACACCCATACGCCCATATTACGAAAGCGAAATCGATGGATGATGATAAAGAATGCAGTACGTGCATACAGACAGACATATAACAACATGGATAATGGATTGAGCTCCGTATTTTGAACAACCTAGGAGTATCGATCGACTGGGACGGTAGCCACCTTTACGGTGGGCAGTCGTCGTCGAGAGGATCTCCGATGCAAGGCCTATCCATATCCATATTTATATCCATGTCCAGGGCTAGGGCCCCCCGCCGTATAGATGCAATGAAGACACCAAAGCCAGATAGATAGACGGAAATGAGGGGAGGGGAAACAGAGCCAGACGCACTAACGCGCCTTGGGATGAATGCACGGACACAGGGCGCGGAAGAAGGTACGGAGGCAGCACCGGCGAACGACTGTTGGAGATCATCCAGGCCGCATCACTGAGCATTGGGCGAATGAAGCTCGCACGGAGCCGATGGCGATTAAAAGGGTGAAAAATCGGGTCAAGTCGATTATGCCACCACTAGCAGGCCAGAGCCAGAAGCAGATAAACTCAGAGACCAATAACGTCGATCGCCATCCTCCACTCCCCGGCGCGGCACTCTTCCATCCTGCAACGGCTCGGGAGCATGCACTCCTGATATGCCTGGAGAACACACCCTCTGTCTTGCGCTGCATATCTTCCGCCCTGCGATTTGGATGTGTGCCTTTGCACGGAAATGCACCACCCGTAGGAATGTTTTGAAGATGCCGCGTGATGTAATGAGGTGATATGCCTCAGCAGGACATCAGTAGATGGGATTCTGAACCATAAAAAAATTGGGAACGATGGAATATGGATGAGAATGTGATTGCGACGCTGAGAGAAAGGTTGGAGAATGGAGGAGACCCTCGGCATTCGCACGACGCGGAGTTGTTTATCCATCAAACTCCGACGTCGCCAAATCCGCGGTCACAGGTTTCTTCAAGCACGACATCCAAGCCCAACCCATCGGACGCGTCCTTTCGCCTTTCTTCGCTTTTCATTACATCGACGCTAATTAACACTCCAGCGACGCGCAGAGGCGATGTCCAGCCATTCAGATGGTTTTCAGTCAGGGACGCGCATCGAGTACATTTTTGCTATGGCCTAACATCAGCTACCGTCTGCAAAATCTGTACGGAAACATCCAATCAGGCTCTCTTTCGCGCTAGATTCTTGTTCCAAACCCACCGCCGTCGATGCCTGCAAAGGCCTCGCTTTGACAAAGAGCAAACTCGACCTCGGGATATAAGTCGGCCTTGGGTCTTCCACTTCAGCCGCAAAATCGAGGAGCGACCAAGGAGCGACCTTTCGACTTTTCCGACATGGCAAATCTCGTTGGTGTGTGCGCACGAGGCGCAGAGGGTGGATTTGGGATATATCTGCATCTAACAGTGCAGCAAGCTTAACGAGACGTCGGCGATGTTCTAGGAGTACTCGAGAGTGGCACTGGAAGATGTAGAGGACAAGAAAAAGTAAAAAGTGTGCATTGACCGGGAGTCGAACCCGGAGCTAGGCCATGGGAAGACCCAATGTTACCGCTACACCATCAATGCTGTTGAATACAGCTGAGGGATATTCTCGGGCGTCCACTTCGAGAGATTCCAGAGCGCTCAGAAAATAATGCCTGCTCTGATACTCGCTTTCGCGGGAATCTCAGCAGGCGTATCAAGTGATGGTTGCTGATTTTTTACTCGTTCCGTTTCCTAGCGCTCAACATTCTTCTTTCGCAAAAGTACAGCACTCCGCCTGCATCATGTCCTCAATCCGCGCCATCACATCTCTACTCCTGCATCTAAAGGCCTGGAGATGCATCTCGTCCTGTTGGTAGCACCTACGACCCCTCGCCACGCCCAACCCTCATTGGATCCCTACCATGGAGCTGCGAGATCCCGAAGGTCATCGACGGCAGGCAGATTTCGTCCTCAACCTGTCAAATATTGCGCTGGACACTCATCAGCGCTTCTATAACGCTCGCAGAAGACGATCATGGTTTTAGGCTGATGTGCTCATGGGCATTCAGATCTGAAGAAAGTACGTACGTTTACTCCAAACATAACACCACAGTGCCCATGCTTACCTGTTCTGCTCGTAAATGGCTCACAGGTCCCAAGAGCTCATATCATCGACAGCGACCCAGCGTTGTCGAAATTCGGGGACATTACTCACCTGTGACCTCAGCAAATATCTCTGCGTTTATAGCCAACCATTATAAACTCGAGCAGACTCGGGGCCATTTGCATTCAACATGAACTCCCCAACATACGACCACGTCGCCGCGAAACGAACCCACCCAGCGTTGGCGATTTCCGCGACGACGGGCCCAAATCTCAACACCACGGGGTCGGAGGACGGCTAGATATGGAGAAAACCCCTCTCAGCAAGTGAATTCCTTCCCAAATCAGATAAAATGATCATCATACTTCCTTTACAGCATCTCCATATCTAGTAGCAAGGATTGGGACGGCAGAGCGCTTCTCATTGTAGAGAAACGGATGAAATAGGTAAACATCCGTGAAAGTGCGCGAAATCGAGGTCCTACTTACCTACCCCGCATCAGCGAACTCGGTATCTACGTCGATTGAGCCAGAGGACGATTTGGACGTTGCTTCACCCTACGTCGCGCCGCGCCTTCATCGTTCACAGCAGCGGGACCTTCCCACTTCTCGCAACTCCCCTATCCACCGCGACCGCGGTACTCACTGCGGTACTGAAGCATGTTTCATACCGTTGGGCAGCAGGTCGCCAGCAGCGGGCGGACTCTTTCCACCCGCACGCGAGGCCAACAGCAGGAGGGGCGAGGGGTGAATGAACGGTGCTTGTGGCGCTCGCAGTACTCATATGCCTCCCTGTTCCTGTGGTGGGATCGCCGAAGCCTCTAGAGTTGGGGGTGCGGATGTGAGCAACGAGCGTTTCACATCTCAGGCGCTGCTCAGCGAGATACGTTGACAGTGGACACCAACAAGCGCCAGGACTACTTTCCCGCATGTACTTGCCTTGACGAACTGCCCTTTGGGGCACGCACCCGAAGCGACGGCGGAGTGTGTCATAGTGAATAACACAAGCAGCTAATAAATGTTATGTGCGCGCAGCGCTACGTCTAGTTACTTCTGAATCCTCCCAGCCTCAGGAATGGCTAGTTTAAAACTTCCGTGAATCCGTGTGGTATGTATGCATCCACAATAACCGAGCGAAGGCTATTTCCACGCGTAATATTGGTCGCTAACCTTCGAAATTTGTTCTAACAACGCAATATACATATAACAGATACCAGGTTTTGAGAATACTTGATTTTTTCTTTGACTAAGTAACACTTAGTTGGATAATATCGAAGGATCAATTATTTAATCCATGATCGACGTCGGTTCTGACACTGGCACTCTTTGAGTGCTGGCTAGTACAGGCTCTGGCCTGCTCTGGCAGGCTTGGCTCTTTGAAGGCGACAGTGCGTGTGGAGGTCCTTCAAGGGCCGATGACTAACAGATGTGTACATGGTCAGCCACGCTGAGGTGGCTGTGCGTGGTATTAGGTGGTATTCCGTACTAAATTCGAGGCCGATGTCGGTCGGAAGTGCGACCCCGCACGGACGGGCCAGATCGAGATGATGCCCCGAGGTCATGGCGTTGCTTCCCACAGAGCTCCTGTGAACGCCCTCAGCTGTGACGCGCTAGGTATAAGAAGCATTCAGCTGGATGTTTCCTACAAGCCCCACTATTCCCTCCAAAGCGTCATCGTATAACAGACTGGCACCGAGGTCACCATGATCAGTACCTATCAGGCGGCGTTTGCACTGTCGCTCGCAAGCGTAGGCGCCATTTTTCTATGGGCGCTTAATCGCGCGATGCAGGCATCTTGGCGCAAAATACCATATCCACCTGGCCCGCCTTCTAAAGGCATTATCTCCGGGAATAAAGCTGATGTCTCCGTCCCACTTCTGTGGCGTGTTTGTACCGAGTGGGCAAAAATCTATGGTGCCATTTTCTTTTTCTGCTGCATATTTCCAAAGAGTGCTCAATGAATATGTATTTTGATCAGGGGACATCTTGTATTTGCGGGTCTCTAACAAGCCTGTTGTCATACTCAACTCCTTGAAGGATGCAACGGAGCTTCTCGACAAGCGGTCTCACAATTATTCTTCGCGTCCAATTACGCCCATGTACGATCTGTATGTCATGTTACTATTTGACTCTTGCTTGTAAACTGCTCACGATACCTTCAAAAGGATGGGATTAAACTTTTCCACTGCATTGAAGACATACGGGCCTGAATGGCGTCAGCATAGGCGGGTCCTCCAACAGACTTTCAAGCCCGAATCAGCCCTCGCATACAGACCGACTCAAACACAAAAGATGCATGACGTGCTATATAGGCTTTTAACGAACCCGAAGGATTTTGAGGCCCATATTAAAACGTGAGTCAGAAGTTACTATTGAATTGTTCCTTTCAATCAACTCCCATCATCGCAATACCGCCAGCTTTGCCGGGGCTATCGTTCTGTCGGTGACTTACGGGTACGATGTTGCGCCGAAGGACGACCACTTGGTTACACTTTTGGAAAGCATTCGCCCTGCTGTTTCTCTTGGGCAATCGCCTAAATGGATAATCAATACCTTCCCGATCCTGCGCTATCTTCCGCGTTGGCTCCCTGGGAATAAGTTCAAAGACTATGCATCCACAATTAGACAAACGGTCGCTGAGCAACGCGACGCTCCATTCAAATATACCACAGATTCGTTGGTACGTTTTGATTCACATTCAAATCTATAAACCGCGATGGTATATGATTTTAATGGATATCAATAGGCATCAGGGAGCACGCGCCTCTCTGTAATCTCCAGCTTTTTGGAAAAGTGTCACTCGGAAGCGGATGTTATATCATTGAAGGAAGCTGCCGCAACTGGATATGGCGGTATGTGTCTATTGAATGCAGCAGCGGGTGACATTATTTATCCTTTTCTTCGTAAAAAGCTGGAGTCGGGACGGTAATATCCCATTCAAACCTCAAAATTAGACTTCTGCTAATTCTGAATTAAAGACCGCATCCACGATAATGAATTTCTTCATCGCCATGATATCATTTCCGGATGTTCAAAAGAAGGCACAATCCGAGATTGACCATGTCGTTGGCAATGATCGACTCCCAAATTACGATGATCAATCATCTTTGCCATATGTGACAGCCATTCTACGCGAAGTAGTTCGTTGGAAGCCAATGGTTCCCCTCGGACTACCACACGCCAGCAAGGACGATGACATATACCAGGGATATTACATCCCGAAAGGCAAGTCTTTCAGAGTTTTCGCAGAATATTGGAGGCTAACAGCAGTTGTTTTGCCATATGTACAGATACCGCGGTTCATTACAATGTCTGGTGAGTATATTGCAATAATACCATACACAGATATGTATACTCAATATTTTCCAGGGCAATGTCGCGCGATCCGGAAAAATACGAGGAGCCGGAGATCTTCAACCCGGATCGATTCTTCGACGAGAATGGGGAGCTAAATAACGATGACGTTGGATTCGCATTTGGATTCGGTAGACGGTACGAATCATTCACGGTTTTTGACGGCTTATGTTGATTGATTCCTTTTATTTACAAAATCATAGGGTTTGTCCTGGTCGTCATTTAGGCGTCGCCTCGGTATATAATGACGCATTTTTCCATCGCTCATACTGACTTGGCCCAAATAGGTTTGGCTGGCTATCGCTACAATCCTTTCGACTTTCGACATTGGAAAGAAGAAGGATTCTTCGGGTAAAGAATTGCCGCTGGAAGCCAGGTACACCGAAATTGGACTTAGCTGGTACGCCAACAACCATTCTATATCATGCTAGTCATTCCACTCTGACGCTATGGGATGTTCAAGTTACCCACATCCTTTCGAATGCTCAGTAACGCCCAGATCAGATAAGGCTGGGCAACTTATTCTGGAGACTTGCAAAGTTGAGGCTTAATCCTTTCTATTTATTGTAATTTGTCCGAGGCCAGAGATGATAGTTATAAACAACTTAAATCTTCATTATCCTCACATCCTCAATTACAAAAAAATACGTCCGCATTACGATCAAATTCCGATCATGATCTATATCTGCGTCTGACAGTGCCCACCAATTGCCCACCGCTAAATTATTGCGTGAGCATGGCCATTCATGAATTAAAAAGTTAGGAGTAAGAATCAGACCTAATTCATATCCCAGTTGATTTTCTCAGTATGCAGCACCCTACTCTGGGCGTGAGTACTTGAATCTTTACAATGATGATATTCTACACAAGTTTGATTCAGATTTCAGACAAATCACATCACATGGTCGCGACACATGGTGCGACGAACTATCGTCGCACTCTCTTGTTCTTGTCTGTTCTCGCAAGTTGTTCTCGTCTGGTTCTTGCGCAGCCTTTCTACGCTCGATACTTCCCAAACTAGGATGATGCCATCTGAATCAGCAATGTCCAAACGTCCAGTCAGGAGTCCCATAAGCAAGATTCCCTATGACGTTCTTAGGGAAATTTTCATCCATTGCCTTCCGCGACATCCTCTTGAGATTCAA